ACCTCATTGACATGAATGATGGAGTTGAGACTCTAATATGTCCTTCAGTCTGGTTACCATATGTTAAGTTAACTCCTGACTGCCGGTTTTTTTTCTGTTTACTTTCGGATGAGGATGAACATGATTGGGATTCGGAACCCAAGCTTTTTTGTTTAGATATTGACAGGAACACTAAGTCAACACATAGTTTGGATTGCATTTTTGGGACGAGTTCCTACCAGTACGCCTCGGAATTTGAAACTTGCAATGAGAGTGGTTTCTTACTTGGAGATCCCTTTTGGTTTTCGGATACAAAAGGATTCCCACCTGGGGATTTTGCACTTGTACTAGAAAAGCAGATGTTACTAAGAGTTTCCCCTCACAGTAAAGTGATTGAAATGTGTCGCCTTAATGACGTAAGGGAGTGGAGATGTGAGAGTGGCGATGAAGCGGGACAAAGCATAGAACCCAGTGACATTACGACAGAGAGAGCCGAAAATAACGATTTAACGGAACATAACCTACCAGAAATCAACAATATGCCGGAAAACGGTTTTGTTCAAATTGATTACTTTGAATCAGCAGTTAGGGTTTATTTCTCTGTTGATGGTGACTCTCTTTATACTGTGACAGGTGGAGGGATCCAGACAATAAATCCTGTGGCTGGCGATGTTTTAAGTGAAAGGATTAGAAAAAAGGAATGTATGATTCTTGCACGGTCTGTACGTGTTGTGCCCGTCAAAAGAGGTGTCCTATTTCAAACAAATAGAGGCTCGCTTGAGTTGTGGAACTCTGAGTTGTCTGTTTGCATGAAAAGGTGGACTGTGTTTCCTATCTATGATGTTGTACCCTTATCAGAGGAACGAGTCGCCTTGGCAACGGAGAATGACTTTGATGAGAGACAGGAAGTCACCATTCTAGATACAACGAGTGAAAAAATTGTGTCAAAGATTTCAAATTTTGAAGGTGAATTTTTGGCATGTAATAATAAATGGGAAGTGCTAACCACCACTGATGGAGAGTCACTGCAGCTGTGGCGTGAAAACCGAGTGCTTTGGGAAACTTCAAATATGTTCATTCCATTTGGCCTTCCAAGTGCTATTTTTTCTCCTACTGAAGAAAACGTCGTCACTTGTGGTGTAACTGGCTCTTACGTCCTCGACGCAGTTTCGGGAAAAGTGATTCGTCAATTGGAGAACATGGATTTAGGTGATATTAAGTTTATCAGTAACGAGGACTGCATTGTGGGCTTGAATGATTCAAGAGGTTTCTGTCTTCGATTATACAACGTTAAATCTGGTGATCTCCTCAGTGAAATTGTAGAAGAACGACTATTTCAAAGTTTTGCAGTTTGTCCTCGTAAGCGCTTGGTCGCAATTTGCTTTAGACACTCCGAGGACCCTTTTGAAATCATTCAAGCGAAGCTGCCAGGCGATAAAGAAAAGACAAACATCGAAAGGTCAGTTGAAACAAAGTTTATTTGAAGACAGAAAAAGACTAATGTGGATAATAATATAATGTCAATAGTATTAATAGTAGTAAGAATAACAATGATACTTAATAATAATGTGATAATGATAACAATAATGATTGTACATGTAATAATAACGATAACAGTGGTAGTAAGAAAAGTTATGATGATAATTATAACTATGATGATACTAATGATAAATAATGGTAATAGAACAGAGTGGAGTCCACTTCGGTCTGTAATCATACGAGAGATTAGCAAAATCGGACGACCGCAAAGCAGGAGTCCGATTTGTCAATCACGAGTGCCGGATTACAGACACAATTGGACAACACAAAGTCCTATATCAATTTATCATAACCGTTACAATTTCCGAGGACAAAAAACACATTGAGGACAAATATCTCCGGTAGAGACAATTTCTGAAATGAAAAATTTCTCAATTTTGGAAATTCCACAGTTTTTTTAGTGTTAGTGGTTGTTGCTATGGTTGTTGTGATCAATTCTGTGATTGGTGGATTTGGCGGAAAGGACTCAGTATGATCGGACGCTTCAACTATCCGATCTCAGGTGTCCGATTACAGACAACTGTCCGGTTAGAACTTTACAGAATGATTTATGAAAAATAACCACTGATCACTAGTTAATTTACTAAAAAATACTCTATTACTTG